TGGACCGAGTTTTCTGCGCAGAAAGGAGCACAGAGCCAGTTGACTGCTCAACGAAGGCATTTGAGGGACGAACGACTTGGATGCCGGGAGAGTAATCTAGTCAGGGAGAGTGAACTAAGTGGTTGAAAAGAGGATAAACGCTATATGAAAAAAGGTGTCGAGATGAGGCTGATCATGAATGGGGCTTGACCAGCTCAGAAGTGAGGCGTTAGGACAGCCATGCGAATTACCTCTGCTCACCTCAAGTTGAGCAGCACCTCAGATGATATGGTCGTGTGATGGGAAAAGCGTAGGTTGCCCCTCTGGAAAAACTAATATTATTGATATTGAAGCTTAAAAGAAAGAGCTGGTAAGCTTAAGAGAAAAAGGTGGAGAACATACTCAAAAAGGTTTCGCTTCGTTGTGCTGGATCTAACAGGCTGTGGAAAGAATTTGTAAATACATAAGAATGCTCCCGTACCGGTAATGGAGAGCTTTCGAATCTTGAATTGTGCGCAAATGTACCATCTTTTTTCATTGCATTCCCAGAAATCTGTTTTGTGGTAGTTTTAGATTTCTAACGGAACATTCAGCAGAAATTGATGTTCCCTATCATCTTACGCGTGTAAAAGAGAGAGTTTTAAGGTGTCTTGTGCTATTATGATGGATGTTTTGAACGTTCTGTCACAATCTGAAAAGCCACTGCAGAATGATGTTGTGTTTCTATTCAACGGTGGTAAGTTTACGAGTTGTTGTGACCTGCTGCATTTCTCGCTTAATTTCACTGATTCAGCCGAGGAGAATTTTCTGCAAGGCGCTCACGGGTTCATAGAAGGTCATCCTTGGCGGCACACCATCCGCGCCTTCATCAATCTTGAAGGTACTGGATCAGGTGGACGAGAAATCTTGTTCCAGGTCTGCATTTAAAATTTTAAAGTCGCGGTCAGCATTTGTTGGCGTAGAGAATAATTCTTTCATAAAATTTATTTGTGTGATATTGCTGCTATTGGGAACTGATCTCAGGCTGGTCCTGGAAATTCCTGGCTTCTGCAGACCTACCTCGAAGCAGCTCCACACCCACATTGCAGTGTATTAGCACAGGAGATTTTCCAGTCAGGAATAATTCCATCTGATACTGACTTCCGAATTTTTCGAGATCATGGGCGTATATCAGGTCTCGAATTAGATTTTCATATATACATATCACTTCTTATACAAAGGGGGCTCAAAATTCTCTTTTAAGGGCTGGATATTGCTTATACGAAGAACGGTTGGGTCTACCATACAGAGTTTGACGAAGAGTGGAGGATTGAAGCCGGTGCAGTTCAAAGGTACTGTCATCCCTCTGATCACCGCTACTGCATATGCGCATCAGGGGATCATTGACATTGTAAAGTATAACTGCTCGCATCACATTATTTTTTGCACATATACAAGTCTGTATGTAAACAATACGGCATAGATATGGCTTAGAAATCATTAGATGTTCATCAACATGCTATTGAGCTTAGAAATTACCAACTTTTGGATTATGATTTTGATTACGAAACAGGTAATAGAATATTATATATGCTGCAGTTCCTTCTCTATATTTGTTTCGGATAGTAAGATGTATAGCTACTGTTAGGTTTTTCTACAGGGAATCATGAATAACGAAGTTCTTCAATAAGCGAAGCCTCAGACCTGCTGAAGCAGAATCAGGCACCCTTCA